AGTATCATCAGATATTACTTTCATCCATCAAAGTTACTAAATCAAATACTATTGATGATATTGAAACAAAATATGATCCATTATCTATTGATCCTAATGAAAATAAAATTGATATATCAAAAGATAATATTTATTTTTTTAGATTTGATGAATATAATCAATAATCAATGTGATGATCATGTGTGTTTTTACAGCAGGAAGATGAAGCGAATATGAACATAAAGCAATTTGATATAGATCTGTGTTTGTTTCCATATTTACCTAAATATATGAAATATATTTCTTTAGAGTTTCTTCATTATAATAATTGTGTTCTGTCACTGACAACAGTGTTGTTCAACTTCATGTTTGACTATTTTTCCAATATTTTCAGATTCACTATCTAGTACTTCATGATATTCATCATTTTAAATGAGGTCTAGTTTGAGCTGCCTCATGAAAGGAATTATTCTCTGCTGATATGACGTAAATTTTAGGAATTTCCTAAATTCGACACTGAAAAGTTGTCATAACACTTACTATTTAGCATTAATATATCTCATTTTCGATGCACTTCAATTTGGTATAAAATTTATTGTTGATATTATTTGAAATCACGACCTTATATCTTTGTAGCATAATCTTCAATTATTAGGAAGCCATATTTATATTTAACTTATTCATTTACTTCAGTTCCTATTTAAAACTGCGCTTCAAAATTTCATGGAAAGGTACAAGAAAAAAAATGAAAACCTTCATAGTAAGGGTCTAAGCGTCCAGGAATGTTTGAGCCTTTTCGCCTCTATCCAAATTTACCCAACTTTGACAGATACCCCTCCTTCTTTTACCTCCACATTATTAATGGATGACACCTAAGATAAAATATATAGCTAGCTAATGTACATATCAAGAAAGATGCAACAGAAAAACTATATACTAAATGATTTGCCTGCAAAAAAATGTTTTCATCATTCCAATTCAAAACACCATTATGTAATTTTGCTTTTCACTCTCTTTCTTTAAATATATCTTCACAATTGTAATGATAGACAAAGAAAATATCCAAGCGACCAATGCTTCTGCTTTCTTAAATGCTCATCCTGTGAACAAATGAATATGTGGAATATGATACAGCAGACGCTTTTTTATTTTTATTTTCTCTTTTGCCTCTTGATAACAACAATCGTCTAGTATGAATGACGAAGATGCATAAGTAATCTCAGAAAAAATGTGAACGAGATTTTCATAAACGGCTTTCATCAGTTGTCGTTTCGGTTTGCAATACAAACAAGAAAATAAATATTAAAATATGAAATAAGAAATTGTGTCTTCTCAATAATTCAGATCAATTTATTTATGGTATTTTTCATTTATCTATTTTCGATCAAAAACTTAATGTTTCTCACAAGAAATCAAATTTAAAAAATATCCCTTCTACACTACACCATCTCAGAAACTTATATTTTTGTTCAATGCACAGTTTCTCATTTATATTCTTTCTGAAGATAATATTTCTCGCAATGAAAATTTTAAATCAATTATTTTCGTTTTAGATTAATTTTATTTAAAAGTATTTCATAATTAAGAATTTCAAGATCTAAGTTTGAACTATCCATTCTTCTTTTAACAAATGACATCATTTTCTTTTTACTACAATAATAACGAGCAGGTGAAAAAATACATTCAACTTTCAACAAAAGTTCTTTCAAGTAATTACATGGGTCAAATTGAATATTTAGTTTTACAAACACATTTGTGACGAAAAAAAAAAATTCTTCTATTCTGAAACTCTCATCAACAATGTTCGAGAAGACACTAGAGATTATGTACCGTCAAACTAGATATTACTATAAACTATTTATATAATCAATAATGAACCATTTATTATGTTAGATCAAACTGACCAACATGACATAATTTATTTTTTTCTATTTAATTCAATTGTGTTATATTGATATCTACAAGTATTAGTAAAAAGAGTTTTTATACTGCACTTTCAGTATTCCCATTGGCTGATTCAGACTCAAGTCCGTTTTGTGTATATTGTTCTGTAACATTTGCTACTGTCGGTAGAAGTTCGAGTGCAGTTGCAATAGATGTAATTTTTCTTAATTTTCGTTGTTTAGAGTGCCAAAAACCATAGGAAAAATATATAATTTGACCTAATCCTGTCCACACAAGAAATCGATAACCTGCTACCGATGGTATATCTTTGATAAGAAGAATACAAAGTAAGGAACCTATAGTAAGAATAAACCATGAACCAAGTGGTACCTCAAATAGTCGTGGAATATCTCTATGTATATACCGCATCTATAAAAGACATATCAAATGACAGAAATAGAGAAATGAATCAATTGAACTTACAACAATAACTGTAATATGTACAAAAATATATGTAATTAGAGCGCTAATGCAGGTTGTTTCGTCAAGAATATCTACTGGGCAAATACCCGAAAAAATAGCACAAAATGCACCTAAAAAATCGAGATAAGATTTATTCTATGAATTGTAAAAAACGATTAGTCACCGATAATTAATATAGAAAGCCATGGAGTTGCCCTCTGGGGATGAATTTTAGCAAAGATTGGTGGTAGTAAACCATCATTAGCCATTGCATAAAATATTCGAGTCTGTGAGAGCATTCCCATCAATGCTACAGTTGTATAACTAGCAATAGCACCTAAATTCATAATAATTGATAACCAAAGACCATAAGGTGTAGTTTTTCTATAAATATTACAATGAATACTACTCATATTCTCTAATACATTAGTAATGACTTACATTGCTTCAGCAAGAGGACTATCTCTGTCTAATAAGTTGCATGGAACGAGTCCAACCATCACAGTACATATTCCAACATAAAGTAGCAATGAAATAATTGTTGATCCAATAATGGCAATTGGCAGTGATGTCTCTGGTGACTTTGCTTCTTGTGCTACTGTTGATATTGAATCAAAACCTACATATGCAACGAAAACATAAGTACATGCTTGCAGCATTCCTGCTACACCATGTCCACTAGATGAACCTAAGATATACAATAAAATGCATTCATTTTCTTAGATATATCAATCAAACAAGGATATACCATTATTTAGTGAAAAAAATGGATAATAATTATTGCGATTAACATAATTACAACAGGTGAAAATGAAGATTAAAATTATAATAATTTTAATCACAACTAATACGGAATTGACTGTAGCTGTTTGACGAATCCCACTAATAAGAAGAATTGTAATTACAATAGTAATTGCAATAGCAGGTAAATTAATCACTTGACCGGTGATAAAAAAACGTTCCGTGTCTTCGTTCCAAGCCACTGGTGATTCGATAATCATGCTTGTTACATTATAATCAGATACAATATCAATAAATAAAACAACATGCTTGCTCCAAGCAACTACTACTGTCAAAACACTAAACAGATAAAGTATCACTGAATTCCATCCAATAAACCATGCTAAATATTCTAAAATGAAGAAGAAATAAATGTGGAAACCTCGGATTTAAATCCGAGAGTTATGTGTACTTCAAAAAGTGAATGAGACAGATGAGTTACCCTAGAATGTGTGGACATCAAAATTGTCCTGGCAAACCCTTTCTGTAAACACTTAATTTCTATTGGCTATTGCTCAGCCAATACGATTTGGAGGCAAATACAGAGAAGATTTGAACTCTTCACCTTCATTTACCCTAAGAAACTCGTTTTTCTTATAACTTGATTTCTATTGGTCACTGCTCAACCAATGGGATTTCGAGGCGAATGGAACATAGATTCGAGTTCTCCATTCTAGAAAACCTCGAACTATCATCGCTGTGATGGGAAGATAGAGCTCTAATTGTGGATCACATAGAGCGCGGACAAAAATAGAACCGAATTCCGATTAATTATCTTTGCAATAGGCGAGTTAGCTTTCTTGTTTCTTTATGTTTTATATACCATTTTGTAGCTCGTGAAATTCTCTATCGAATGGTATATAATAGTTGGGGTTTTATATGACTATGATAGGAAAAGTTTTTTATGAAAGTAGAGAAGGGTCTATCTTCTCATAGGGAAAAATGACTATTTTTGCTATAACTCAGCAATGGTTCGGCCAATCATTCTCATCTTCGAACTCGACCGAGATATTGTTAAGACTAAACTGTGTAGAAAATTTCATCACGATCGGACTCTTCTTTCAAAAGTTATCGTGTTAACGGCCGGACGGCCGGCCGGACGGCCGGACACACTGACCGATTCTAGAGTGTACTCACTTTTTGAGTACACAAAAAGCGAATCTCTTATAACAATATTTTTCATTGTATACCTCCCAAGGCTAAAACAATAAAACAGAAAAACAAGAGTTCATGAAAGGAAAATATGTATACAATCAGTAACTCACCTACATAAACATATATGTAAACTGATCCAGAACTAGGCATCATTGTTCCTAGTTCTGAAAATGACAAAGATGACAATAATGCAATAACGCCTGTTATAACAAATGAAATGATGATTGATGGACCAGAATATTTTGCAGCAGCTTGTCCACTTAATACAAATATCCCGGCACCTGAAAAAATGATTCAAAACTCTTAGCACATGTAATAATTTCAAACTGACTCACCAATAATAGTACCAAGACCTACAGCAAGTAGTTGAATCCAATTTAGTGTACGTTTAAATCCTTGCTTTGTAGCAAGCTCTTCTTGTAGTTGTTT